CTGCCTTAGTTTAGAATTCGGGATGAACTTTCTTTGTTTGATGGCTGTGTGCTACAAGGTACACACTGGCTCCTTGTGCGAGAAGAATTACAGTCAAAACTGCCTGGTTGATACAACATTTGACAAAACTACTCGTTACATCTGTATGATAAAGTATGGTCGTGATTTTTGTAATTTCTGAGGAGAGCTGAAGGAGTGAGGCCAGGGCAGAGTGAAATGAGGGATGATTTTGCTGCTACACTGATTGGCTGGGATGATACTATATGGTGTGGTGTGGCAGGGTGATATCTGATAGGGATGTGTATTTAATTGTTGTCAGGGGGCCAAAGCTGGTTTCTAGCCCTCTTTTCTATGATTGAATCCAAACAAAGAAATACAAGCTAGACTAGTCATTTTAGTGCATGCAGGTGAACTGAGCACCCCTACTGGGTTGTAAAAGTGAAACTACAAATCGTATTTGCTTATCAAACCCAGTGTTTTCTCCAGGAATTGAAATGGGGGGGGGGGGGTCAGGGCTGATGAGGGGTGAGACCGTGAGGGTGAAGATGGGCTGCATGGCACCATAGTAAAAACTGAAAAAATGTTTCATGACCATTTTATTAGATTTAACTCATGTCTTAAAATCATCACACAAATTAAAGTTGGCTACTCAAGCCTTCTATGAAGCACTACGTCTACATCCTTCTTGGTTTCTTGTTATAATTTTTCACAACTCTGTTAATGAACTTCTTGAATGCAATGCATTCATCTTTGGTGGCTTCTCGTGTGTCTGGTACTTCCATTCCTTCAACCGATATGCTCATTAGTTCATTCCCATGATCAGGCAGAAGGCGACTTCTTTCAGAACACAATATTCTAGTCAATGATGAAACAGAACGCTCGACTGTAGCCGTTGTGACTGGGAGTAGCAAGAGATGAATTCCTACTTCTTTCATCCCAGAAAACATAGCACAAAGATCAGGTTGAGCCACTAGTGATGATAAAAAAGAAGTTAAAGTCAAATCTTCATTCATTCGTTGTGTGATATTCCACTGTGTGTTCAAATTCTCTATTCTGTCCTGAGCACATGGCAGCCCCATTGCTGGTCGTGCCTCACTCCACTCAACTGGCAGCGTTTTATAGGGCGGGGATCTGTAAAAGCGATGTAGTGGTGGAGTAGAATCTAGAAGTCGCTGTTGCAGATATTTAAGAATCAAGTCTGTGTACTTTTTCAGTTGTCTTAAACATTTCTTGTCCTCTTCACTTAAGGATTCAATATAAATGCCTTCATTAGTCAACCTCTGGACTGAAGTCTTTGCTTCTTCCAGTACTTTTTCAATGGATAGCTCTCTGATTGATTCAAATGTAGCTTCTATTGCTGGACAAAGATCTACTACTGTTGTAGCCGATGCCTGGATAGCATTGTTTAATGACCCAAGTGGTTTCAACAATAGACTTACAAGAGAGAGAATGGCAATAGTCTTCTCTGAACGTAGTAGCAAAAATAATCCACCAGCCTCACTGCTTAGATCCATCCCATCTTGGTAGATACTTTCCAAAGCCAATAATAATGGCTGGAGTAAGTTTAAGACAACAGCCAAGTGTAAGGGGACTGTTGCTCCCTTACTAACATTCAGTGGGTGTGTTTTGGTTGGCTAGCTCCCAGTACTAAAAAGGGGGAAGGGTTGATGGGGAATCAGGACCCTGAGACTGACAGCCCCCAGGAACAATGGGGAGAGGCCAGTGGTCCAGGTCAGCCTCAATGACAGGCTAATCAGAGAGTCAGGAGGCCAGGGAGGTCCCATCCTCCGTGTGAGCTGGATTTGCCTGGGTCAGACAGAGAGGGGGCCGAGCTAAGGAGAAAGCAGGGGCCCGAGCTGAGCTGGGGAGCAGAGCTGGGCCAGATCCAGAGGGACCAGAAAAGCAGCCCAGAGAGAGCAGACCCTGTCCTGGGAGCAGAGCTGTAGCCCCAAAGCCAGAGGCACAGCCCAGAGAGAGCAGACCCTGTCCTGGGAGCAGAGCTGTAGCCCCAAAGCCAGAGGCACAGCCCAGAGAGAGCAGACCTGCCCTGGGAGCAGAGCTGCAGCAACCAGAGCCAGAGCAGCAGCCCAGGGAGCTGGAGGCAGAGCAGCAGAGCAGAGACCGAGTGGTGGAGCTGGGGCTGGAGCAGTCCAGAGCTGGGTGTGGTGAGCAGCTGGGGAGAGTGAGGGGGACCCTGGGCAGCAGGCCCAGCACAGGGAGACGCCTCAGCCAAGAGGCTCTGCAGGCCAGACGTGGATCATAACCCCACAGGACAGGGGTGACACTGGGAAGAAGGGTCCTACCACTCAGAGCCTGAGAGCATGTGGCCACCACCAGAGCAAGTGTCCAACCCCCAACATCCCTACAGCACAGTCAGGGCCTGAGAAGAAGGAACTTACAAGGAACAGACTGTGAACTGCCCTGACATTCCAGAGACACTGTTTGTGATGTTCCCTGCCACAGAGTGGGGTGATGTGTTTCCTTTAACCTTTCCCATTATTCCTTATTCTTTTTAAAATTAATTGTTGATTAAACTTGCATTTGCTTTAACTTGTAATGGTCAGTGGGTCAGAGAAGTGCCCAGTGCAGAGAGAGTACCCCGGAGTGGGGACACCCTAGCCCCTGTCTTAGGTGACCACAGCAGGATTGGGGGGGTCGAGCCTCCCCGTAATCCTGGGCCCAGCCTTGTTGGAGTTACGAGGACTCTGCCAGACAGGAGAGTGGAAGGGGAGTCCTCAAGGGCCGGGAGGCCACTGGGTAAAGGAAGTGGGAGCGAGGACTCAGATCCTTTCGCTAGCCCACTTCACCGGGGTAGTGCAGAAGCCAGGAAAGTTCCCCACAATAGCGAGACTATTCCCCCGCTTACACAAGGATCGCTCATGAGAAAGCCAGAGGGTTTTCCCAGGTTGGACTAATCTGAACTTCAGTCCCAGCGTATCTTCTATATTTTCCAAGATATTCAGTTTTTTTGGACTCTGGCTGAAAAAAGAATATAATGAAGACATTAAATTTCTAGCTTTTTAAATGTCCTTTGAAGAGTCTGCAGCTCATCCTAGCGCTAGTTGGAGTAGATGGCCCCTGCAGTGTGTATAGGAGAGACTAGGGTCACACTTTTCTCTGAGCAAAGCTTGTACTCTACCATGTCTTCCAGAGAAGTCTGCAGCTCAATCAAATGCACAAGCAGCCATCTGTTTGGTGTCTCATTGACAAGCATTTAACTCTTGTAAGATGTGGGTTGTCACAGATGCAGCCAACGTGTCTTCTATAACTTGAACATCTAGAAATGCATCTACTGGCCTACCACTGACATCAAGATAATGTACACAATGACTTAATACTTGATGCCCATTTGCATCGGTGCATTCATCAGCCATGTATGCAAATTTTTTGAATGTGGTGAGACAGTTCTTCACTTTTTCAACTGTTGAGTCTTTCACTGTTGCACCGCATGCGTCTAGCCAGTCAGCTGAGTTTCTTGAAGAAAGACAGTGAGCATTTGCTGGTCTTGTTCAGAACCAGTGTTCAACTTTAGGATGAACAAGTGACAATGAACTTAACATTGGCCTCCAGTTTGTAGTGTTTGGTACCTCTTATTTAAATAGAAAGTAGGATGCTGCAGTCTTGTATGTTCACATGAACTGTGTTGTGTCTCCAGCATTCTTAACAGCCTCGTTAACGCTCACCAGTGTTGTCCTTGGTCAGTGGAGACTCAGAGTTCAGAGGTGCTTTCACCTCCCAGGTGGGGGGCAAGAAGGCACCTTGCTCTTTCCTCCAGCTGCTCACTCTGGCCACTGTTGTTCATTGTGCCACCGTTCACGCCATCACTCTTTTGCCAATGGCCCTGCACCGTCACCTTCTGCTGCCACAGACCTCTGTGAGTTGGTCTCTTGAGATTCCACCATTTCTCAGTGATTTCAGCTCTCAGTGGGGGAACCTCACTGCTAGTGCAGCCTGGGCCGTCTCTTCCACAGGAACACTGTCCCAAATAGGTCTAAGTGCTTAGACCTGATTATCAGTGATTTCAGCTGTAGTGGTCACTTAGCAAAACACAAGATTATCTATGGAGCCTAATCAGTTCTGTCTTTAAACAGTGGAGAGGGGCAGGTCTAATAGTATTTGTGAATCAGGCAGACCATCAAGCAAAACACCTGCCCCCACCTTCTCTCTTGGTGCCCTCAATCAGCGCAGCTAAGTTCTACTGCCCTTTACTCATACAATAAGAATAACAACATTTCATCCCCCCTCCCCGCCCCCCCGGCATTCAAGTGATTTGTAACCCAACCCCAGCCAAAATCTATCACTTGGGCAACACAGCTCTGTTTGCTGGCTACCTAGGTAAATAGGTGTGAATGTAAATACAATCTGGTCCTGGAGCCTTTCCCCCCAGCCCCAGCTCATCACTAGCTGTCATGGAGAGCTCATTTAGACTTGGCTTACAAATCATCATTTGAAAGTATTAGGTTGGCCAACATCACCGAAATGAAGGCACTGACATGGTCATAAAAGCAATGGCTGTACAAGGAAGCTAGTCCATGTTCATACTTTTCAAATCTGTGACACTTTTTCAGATACACGTCGTTTCTCATACACTGTGTACGCTTTTAAAGTGTGTATTAATGTTTCAATTTCAATTCAAATTTCCAAACAGTCACTAAATTGGCAACACTGCATGTAACTAATTCACAAAACTGGGGGGGGGGGGGGGTAACTAATTCACAAAACTGGGGGGGGGGTAAGGAAATCCCCGCCAGCGATCACCTCTCCAGCCTCCTGCTTGAAACCCTCATCCTGCAAACCCCGGCCCAGCGGCTCAGCTTCACCCTGGGCCCCTCACAGGTGCAAAGTTCAGCCCCGGGGCCAGCCTCGGGGAGCGCGGACCCCGCCCGCGGCCCGGGAGAAGAAAAGGCGAAGGGCCCGAGCGAGCGGGGGCTCGGCCGAGCGGCTCCCAACGCTCCCCGAAAGCGCCACGAGGCGGCGCCAGGCCCCGCCGCTGGGTCGCTCCCCGCCGGCCCCGGCCCCGGCCCGGCCCGCGGACGTGTCGTGGCGCTTTGCCCCGCCCGGGGGTGGAGGCGGCGAGCGGTGAGCCCGGGGGTTTCTCGCGGGGGCCGCAGCCGGGCTGCTCGCGCCCCTCCCGCGGCGAGCCGCTGCGCAACGGGCCGGCCCGGAGCCCGGCCCGCCAGGCGGAGCCGCGCCGGGCCCCGCACCCCGCAGCGCCCCGGGCTCCTGCCTCCGCTGCGGACCCAGTGCCCGTGCGGGGAGGTGGCCGAGATCGCGTCGTTGATTTGCGTGGCTGAGGGGCGGGGGGGCCGCTCCTGGACCCAGAGAGAGCCGGGGTGGGAGTCCCCGGGGTGGGGTGGAAGGGAAGTCCCCGGGAGGGCAGGGCAAGGGGTGGGGTGAGGTGGGAGTCCCCAGGAGAGGAGGGGGTGGGAGGGGAGGGGGTGAGGTGGGAGTCCCCGGGAGGGCAGGGCAAGGGGTGGGGTGAGGTGGGAGTCCCCAGGAGAGGGGAGTCCCCGGGAGGGGGTGCGGTGAGGTGAGGTGGGAGTCCCCGGGAGGGCAGGGCGGGGGAGGGGAGGGGGTGAGGTGGGAGTCCTCGGGAGGGCAGGGCAAGGGGTGGGGTGAGGTGGGAGTCCCCAGGAGAGGAGAGGGTGGGAGGGGAGTCCCCGGGAGGGGGTGGGGTGCGGTGCGGTGAGGTGAGGTGGGAGTCCCCGGGAGGGGAGGGCAAGGGGTGAGGTGGGAGTCCCCGGGAGGGCAGGGCAGGGCATGGGGTGGGGCGGGGGGTGAGGTGGGAGTCCCCAGGGGGGCAGGGCAGGGCAAGGGGCAGGGCGGGGGGTGAGGTGGGAGTCCCCGGGAGGGCAGGGCGGGGGGTGAGGTGGGAGTCCCCGGGAGGGCAGGGCGGGGGGTGGGGTGGGGTGGGGTGGGAGGGGAGTCCCCGGGAGGGCAGGGCAGGGCAAGGGGTGGGGTGGGGTGGGAGGGGAGTCCCCGGGAGGGCAGGGGAGGGGGTGGGGTGAGGTGGGAGTCCCCTGGAGCTCATTAGGCCCTAATAGCAGCTCTGTTGCTGAAAATGCGAGCATGCGAGGCTAGCCCAGGTCCCTACTGGACGGGCTGGACGCTCCCCAGGGTCAGTGAACAGGTCCCCGTTGAGACAGCAGGGAGGGGTGAGCACAGGGTGGGAGACAGGGAGCCTGAAGATGCAATACTATCTGTGCACCAGGTCCCCATGTGGCCTGGGAAAGCCACTGTCTGCCTCAGTTTCCCCAGCTGTTTACAATGGGGACAGTAATAGCTGATGGACAATTGTCTTGCTGCGATAAATTGGTTAATGTTTGCATCATACTTTGAACATATGTCTCTGATTAGTTAGGGGCATAAGCAGCTGGTGAAAGTGTTCTGGGGGGGGACCGAGCCCACCCTGCATTCACTGTGTAGCTGTGGCTCCTATCCCTGCTCCTGCCTGTTGGCTCTTGCTGCTGGCACATTCGGAGGAGCCCACCACAGTGTCACTTGAGGGGCATGTCTATGCACAGGTGGAACCACCCCCCCTGCGATCCCCTTCGTGGCCTGGGCACTGCCGGATGCAGGGCCTTAGCATCTCTCCCTTCCTCCAGAACTTCTCCCATTGCTTCCCATCCGTTCCGGATCCCCAGCTACCCTCTCCCCCCACCCACTCAGGGTCCCCCTCTTCCCTCAGGCCTCCCCACTCAGTTCCCGTCAGGATCTCCCGTTGCTGCACATGGTGCTGGGCTGTTTGCTCTTTATATTGGTTAAAGCGGCTGCCATATCTGCTATCACAGGGTATTCGAGCAGCCTATCTTGTTCTCTTACATTTTGTGCCTGTGAAATTCCTGTTCCTTTTCTGTAAATTAAGATAGTTTACCGTCAAGAAACGGACATAGGCAAACAGTTTGATGGCTTGTTCCAGTGTTGCACAGGAATGCTGCTCGCCTACAGTCACTTATCCTTTGTTTGTGTTTTCCTGCAAGGTGAGCAAGGGGCAGGCAGCCCCAGCTCAGCAGATGGGGGGAACTTGTCACAGGCAGGAAGAGACCTGGATTCCGCACTGGCTGGCGAGCTACAGCTGAGAAACGAGCCATTTGTCAGAGGAACATCAGGAAGGGAAATGGCTGCAGATGGCTGTGTTCAGGTAGGACTCCATCATGGCACCTCATGGACTCTATGCCTGTGGATAAAAGATACAGTGAAAATTCTAGCATAGCCCGTAGTTCTCAAATGCTGTAACGTGATCAAAACCAGTGATAATGGTAAAGATTATTAACTGTAATTAACAGGAGCGCCTCGGACCCAGTCACGGATCTCGGACCTGTTGTGCTAGGTGCTGTACACAGACAACATTCCACAGAGAGCCCACAATTCCAATGTCAGATAGGCCACAACGGGTAGACAAAACAGACAGACAAGCTGGGAGGATGAGCTAAAACTAAGGCTAACAGAATTTAGCAGAAATCACAGCTTGCCACTTGCCATCCACAGCCAGGCTATAGTGATCTGTTGGCATCATGAGAAAATTAGGCTTTAAGGAGGGACATAGAGGAGCCTAAGTGGAAGCTTTATGAATTTTGACTTTAATCAACATTATATTTAATGAAACACTTTTCATGCCAAAGTCTAGACACTTTGTATTGTGTCTGATCAGAGTCAGAATAAAACCATTGGTTTGTACTACATAGAAATCATTGGAAACAAAGGCCTGGAACCAGCAGTGGTGTTCAAAGGAGCAGGCCTTTTCTAGACAAAAATAATAGAGGGCAAGTAGCCGACACTGGAAACGATGAAAAGAATAATTTACTTCACTATTTCCAAGTTGAGGGGAACAAACGAATCTCTAGGATCCCAGAAATGCAGAAAGACAAAGACATCCAGAATATTCCAAATCCCAAAACTTTCAAAATGGAAGGTTCATCACTAAAGGATTCTGTCTTCTCTTACATGGCTGCCGTTATCATGGTATCTGAGCACCTCGGAATCTTTAAGTCCGTCCGATCACACAGAGCTGTTGTAAGGGAAGTGCGTTATTTGAAGGGGGCACGGGAATAAAGGCAGAGAGACTAAAACTATGTCTACACTTAAAATGTTACAGTGGCACAGCTGTGGCTGCACCGCTGTAGAGCTAAAGTGTAGACGCTCGCTATAGCAATGGGAGGGGTTCTCCAGTTGTGGGAGTTGATCCACCTCCCCGAGAGGCAATTGCTAGGTGGACGGAATAATTCCTGTCGACCTAGCGCTGTGTACACCTGGGGTTTGGCCTGGTCTACTCTAAAAAATTAGGTTGACCCAGCTACATTGCTAAGGGGTGTGAAAAATCCCCCCTCCCCCAAGCCACATAGTTAAGCAGACCTAACCCTCAGTGTAGACCGCTTTAGGTTGATGGAAGAATTCTTCCATCAACCTAACTATCCTCTCTCTTTGGGAGGTGGGTTTCAGAGTAACAGCCGTGTTAGTCTGTATTCGCAAAAAGAAAAGGAGGACTTGTGGCACCTTAGAGACTAACCAATTTATTTGAGCATAAGCTTTCGTGAGCTACATGGATGGCATGCATCTGATGAAGTAAGCTGTAGCTCATGAAAGCTTATGCTCAAATAAATTGGTTAGTCTCTAAGGTGCCACAAGTCCTCCTTTTCTTTTTGGGAGGTGGATTACCTTCGCCAGTGGGAGAAACCCTCTGTCGGAGTAGGGAGTGTCTACACTGAAGTGCTACAGCGGCACAGTTGTAGTGTTTTAAGGGTAGACAAGCCCTAAAGTTGCCATAGCTTTGTCTCCCTGGGGTGTGGATTTTTCACACCCCTGAGCGCCATAGCTAGGTAGATATAGGTTTTCAGTGTAGACCAGCCCTAAGTGACTTGCCCAATGTCACACACGGTCTTTGGCAGACAGGGAATTGAGTCTCTTGAGTCCTTGACCATGAGGTTACCCTTCTGCTCTAGCTCCTCTAAAATCTAATTGCTCTGATTGGCCAGGGCTCTTTTATTCATCTTCCCTTTCACGGGTGGCAGGTATTACAGGCCAGGGGAGCCCATGCTCCACGCTCAGACTCCCTCCTGCCTTCTGCTCTTCCCCCGTAGCCTGGGCTCCAAGGGGGCCAGGGCTGGGGGACTAGCAGCTGCGGTGGGAGCATCTCCAGGCTCAGCGGGGGAGGGAGGGCAGAAGGGGTGGGGCACCCCTGGGGCAGAAGGGGTGTGGCTGGGGGCCTGCCTCCCCAAGCCAGTGGTTCACATGCTGCCCATATTCCCTTTCCTGGTTCAGAAGGCGATGGGAACATAGAAGACGTTCAAGAAATCTGTCTTCCATAGCTGTGAAGTGATTTCAGTCGCTTATCAGTGCTAGACCCAAAACCGCATCTTGAAGAGAATCGCATGAGTGAAGAGTGAATTCTAACCCTGAACCAAATTCAGCAGTCCTCTCCCCTGCTAAGTCTTTTCCTACAAACTGTGACATTTGGTTCATGTTGCCGTATCTGACTGGGCTTAGTACTGAGCTTACATTTCTTCCATAATATTTATTATCTATATTGTGGGAGGGCCTAGGAGCCTCTCTCATGGACCAGGAGCCCATTGTGCTAAGTGCTGTACGAACAGTCCTGCCTCTCTAACGCAACTACTGGTATAGCCGAATGCCAGTTCTGTTACAGGTAAGGTCAAGCAATGCTTCGGGTTTGAAGAGGAACAATTCTAAGTGTTCCAGATTCCATATATTGTCTGGAATTGTCTTAATAAGCCCTGTGGGACTGCTGGGCAGTGTTAATGCCACTTTTGGGGCTATTTGAGCAAGGGGATAGAGCCCCCTTACAATGAGCATTTTACGAATTTCTCGTTCTCTTTTTTGTGTCACGTCTGCGGCTCAGACTATGGCTTTGCTCCTCTCCATGCTGACCCCCTCGCTCAGTTCCCCTCAGCTAGTGCATGGCCCCTGCTGCCCCTCCCAGGAAGCACTACTGAAAACATTACTAGAGGTAAAGTTTGTAACTTCGGGTTGCCGTGTATCTGACTGTGGCACCTAAGAGTGAACACACATGCAGACAGGCTCAGGCTCTGCAGAGGCAAGAGGATTTCCAGGCAGTCTGTTGTCACTGTAATTTGGTGGCTCAGGATGACACAATGTGGTTGCTCAATCTGAGCTGCACCCACACGCTGGGAGTTGGTGCCCTTCCCTTGGCTATTTTCAGAGAGTGTGGCCTGGTCTATGGCACTCGGGGATATGAAAAATCCACACCCCTGCTCGGTGTAGCTAAGCCGCCCTAAGTCCCCAGGCAGGGCGAGATCGACAGAAGAATTCTAGCCACCAACTCTCAGCCCTCCCGTTGGCATGGGTAGCATCTCCACTGAAGCATTTTAAGTGTAGACAAGCCCTGTGTCCTGTGCATGATCCTTGCTCGCTGCCCGCATTCTGGAGCGGCTCCCTTTGGAAATTTTGCCCAGAGACCAAAAGTTCTGGTTTATGCCTCCCGTTCACAGCCCCATCTCTTTAGGCAGTGTCCGTTGTCCCGGCTCATAGGGGGCTGGTCCTCACAAAAATGGGGAAGGAGGAGGGGTCATAACTGCGAACTCCCTGCTGCCCTCCCCAGTGTGAGAGCCAAGGTCTATGGAGGTTGTGCTACTTGAAGGGTATGTATGCGGGGCGGGGAGGGGGAACAAACAGGGGCAATAGACCTCTCCCTGCCACAAATGTGTGAGCAGACAGTAAATGCCCAAGGAAATGGGGAGGGACCAGCCACTGAGATGAATGGAGTGGTTCACTCCTCTCAGAGTTATTGTTTCAAGCTGTATTCACATCCATTGGGTTTTCTCATTCAACTGAGAACATCATATTAAATTGAATAGGCCCCTTCACGCACATCTGAGCCTCCTGGAGTACCGCCTCTTCTCCACACACTAGGCCCAGATTTGGGGAAGGGACTGTCTTCATTCCCTGCCTCCAGCAGGTATACACTCTCCAGGTCTGTTCCCCCCCTTCAGTAAGATCACCACTGATTCCATGCTGGTCCCTGCACTGCTCCTGCACCCTCTCCCCAGCTCCTCAACCTGGAGGGTCCATGCTGACATCTGCCTCTCGAAGTGGAGGAGGGAGAACCAGGCTGTGATGGCCAGGCTGACAGGAGAGCTGATGCAAGATCTGTGAAGGGATGAACATGCAGCCTGTCCATTCTGTGGCCGAGGTAATTCTTGCCAAGGAGCTAGAGCTGTGGAGGATGAAAGCTGGGCTGAGGAACACGTGGGTGCTGAGAAATTATTTAAAAACAAACAAGGAAATCAAATACCCCAAAACTTGGTTAAAGCAGAGTTAAGGTTGTCCATTGGTGCCTTATGCCCTGAAGGGGGAGAGTATCTAAATGTAAACCTCTGAAAACCAGAACATGAAGGGATAAAGAACATGCCACCCCCACAATGCAACCTTAACCCTGCCCTCTGAGCAATGCCCCAACAAGCCAGTAACATGTACTAGCATGCTACCCACATAGATGCTCCAGAACCTCCTGGGGACAGAGCACACACATGAGCGCTGCAGGACAGAGTCTAACACGTCTTTGCTCAGGTAAAACTCGGGTTTAGTCAGGTGTAGCAAACAGGAACTACCTACACCTGCTGTACGTTCAAACATGGAGCCTACCCCACACAGGTCACTCCAGACCTGCCACCCCTTTCACCCTTCTGAGGCATTGGTCTCACTCACCCCTCCCTCAGCCCCAGCAGCCCACTACCAAACTGCTGGCGGTCCCCATGGCAAGAAGATGCCCTGGTGCATGTTTATGGACACGACTTACAAAATTCAGCACTGAAATGAGGCCTGGATCCCTCAAGGCGCATGGGCACATCTCCTCATATCACAGGAACAGCTCTGCCAAGCTGCTCCACGTATTCCCTCCACCATTCAGTGCAGCTGCACCTAACCCAGCAAACGCAGCTGCAGGGCATGCAGAGAAACGCTGGAATTCCAGTCTGTGGAGCACACCACAAACAATGACTTGTTCTCGTAGCCCTTTCTCCTATCTGCTTTTTGTTGGTTCATAGACACCAGCGCCAGAAGGAACTTAGACCATCTAGTCTGACCTCCTGTATGGCGCAGCCAGAGCATTTCATCCAGTTATGCCTGTACTGAGCCTCATACCAGACACCCTTCATCCGGCCTGATTTTTAACATTGCCAGCATGCAGTCCCTCATTGCTGATCAACTGTTGAGCTGATCAGCAGCGCAGGGAGGGGGCAGCTGCAGCCTCCTGTGGCTCAGGGGCTGGGGGCAGGAGCATCTTATCACCCTGCTCCTCAGGTAGGTTTTGTGGAGCCACAGCTCTCACTACCCATCTAGCCATGGGCTCTGGGTGCAGAGCCACAGGCCCTTGCCATGCAGGGTGACGGCTGATCCTGCTTCAGAGGAGACGGTGAGTCTACAGCCCCTCTAGCATCCACGTGAAGGTGGTTGAGGCATTGTCATGAACCGGGGCGTGGGTGGTCAGGCCTTGTGGTGCGAGCGGGAGTCAGTGGCTAGGAATAGTGCAGAAGCCAGAGCCAGGAACTGAGCAGGGGTGGAACGAACTGGGTAGGGCAGGAACAAGGCAGGAGCCAGGCTGGGCTCAAGCCTGGGAGCAGGGCAGGCAGGAGCAAGACCACAGCTGCAGGCATGTGCCTCATGGAGTAGCCAGAGATCTGCTCTTGGGCCTAAGAGCTGGCCACAGAAGTCAGCAAGCCTATCAGGCAACCCTGCTGTGGCTCCGCTGTGCTCATCGGCTGCTCAGAGCACAGTTGTAAGTCCTCAGTCCTAGCTGGTATGGGGGGCAGGGGAGAAGGCCCGCAGGCTCAGGGGGATCCAGGCTTGGAGCGGAGCTGGGCGGGGGACGGACGGACACACTGGTTCAGAATGGTCATAACGGGGAACAGGCTTGGAGGAGCCTTGGAGAGGGAAGGAGGATGTGGCTTATGGGAGAGAGCAGGTGTGTTTGGTGGGGAGAGGGAGGTGGAGCTGGCAGTGCAGGGAGGCTTTTAAAGGCTCATTGGTGATGGGGCTGTGGAGAAGCAGGAAATGTGCGCTCCTGGGGGTGCTCAGTAAAGAAATGGACGTCCCTCATTGTGCCCCTCATTTCACAGTGCATTGTCCCTCATCCTGAGGGTCACGTGTCCCTCATTTCGAGAGGGGTGGTGGCAACTAGTGCTGCCTTGTTGGGGAGTCTCTACTGTGAGAATGGCAAAGCTACTACTCACCATCCCAGCATCCCTTTGGGAATTGATTTTCTTCCATCAGAGCCCTGTGGGGACAAGGGAGAGCAGCGAGTGTGGGATTCACCTTGGATGCACCAGCTGGAGTGTGTGCTATCAGTGTGAGTTACACACAGGAAAAGGTTCCCCTGCCGGGACCCAGGGTTGCCGCTGTCAGGATGTGACTGAAGCAAACCTTGCTGATCATGGTTTATTTATCATTTCAGGCCCTGGTCACATTTGATGATGTTGCTGTCTATTTCTGTAAGGAGGAATGGGAGGAGCTAGCGGAATGGCAGAAGGAGCTCTACAGGGACGTTATGAGGGACAACTATGAGACTTTGATCTTCCTGGGTAAAGATAATTTTTCTTTGCCAGCTCTCACTCAGATTCAGTTCATGGTTATTTCCATGTGCCATTGATTTTTTGTGCTCCACAGTGGAGGGTTGCACCACTGTAACTAAACCAGTTTCAAACTAGTACAAAAGCTGTGTGTAGACAAGTTCCATAGATTCCTCACATGTTCCCAAAATATAGCAGTAGCTGCAATATCTCTATTGACAGCATCTTCCAGTTGCAAATAAGTACTTCTTCACATTTAACTATGCATATAAGAAAAACTATACACTAAATATTGATTTAAAATCTGCTTCATTACGTATAACATGGAGTAATAGTTTTGAGAGGATTACAAGTTCCATTGTTAAGGGCAACTAACTACACATATTTTAAAATGCAAGAATATTTAAAACCCCACACAGGTGACCAGGAGAAGCAAAATATTATATACCAGCACCAAGATTAACCCTCATTCACCACCCTTTACTTCTTCATAATGCTTCATATATATAAGCACTGTTGTTATGTGTTGATTGATGAAAGTCTTAAACACTGAGACCAGGTTGCTGCTAAAATACACTTTCTAATAGATAAGAGAGATCCCTCCCTGGAGTTTTAGGAAAATGGACTAAAGTCAGACCTGCCAGCTCTGAAAACAGAGGTAGCTTCCTTTTGAAGAAGTAATTCTTAGATTCTTGCTCAACAAACCATCTCTGAATGATGACTAGAACCAAGTGAATGACTGGAATTTCTGTTCCACAGGAAACTGATATTTCAACATTTGTTTTCATCCCAAATCAGGATTAAAAGATTTGTAATATCAACTGCATGGAACAAAAAAGTTCAACATTAAACATCTCCCTGTGGTGCTGCATTGTCTCATGGGAGTTATAGTTCAGGTGCCTGATGGCCTCATTCTCCCCTATGGGCCAGTTTCCCTGGCTGAACTACATCTCCCATGATATACCTGTAGTCATCTATGACTCCCATGAAGCACAACGCTGCTTGGTCAGAGGGGAGGCCACATTGCATCATGGGAGATGTAGGCTGGCCATATCAGTCAGTACCATGGACAGTGAGATGTTGATTTGACACATTTTGTTCATGTGGTTAAGGAGTTAGCTTATAAATTGTGCAGATTTAAAACACAGAGCGCCCCTGCATTCTGTACAGGCTCCCCAGGAGACATCAAACAAAGAGGTCACCTACATGCTACACAAGCTCCATTCAGTAAAACCCTCTGAAAATGAGAAGAGTGTGTTCAGGTATGTAAATAGGTGAGTGACTCAATCCATGGGCTTTGAAGGAATTTTTAATGCTGCCTCACCATCCAAACTTCTGAGCTCACCCATGTCTCCAGTGAAGGGGACTGGAACAATGTGTACAGTGGGGGTGCTGAGAGCCATCGAACCAAACTGTAAACCCTGCATATGATGGAAACCACTTCACACCAGGGGGCACAGGAGCCATAATTCCAACACCTGTGTACACACTGTATTCTGTACGTCTCCTCTATGTTAGGGTCCTCATTAGCATTCAGTATTGATCAGCTACCCATGTCACCTTCAGTGAAGAAATGGTGTTGGTTTCATGTTAGTTACCATTTGGTGTGAAACGAATTATTAGTGTGCCTTAGTCCTGTTCCCAGTGGCTTTGGGTCTAGATCACAAACTCCATCACAGCAGGCAGTAAGACCTGAGCCAGCAAAGTGCTGTAAGGATATGATAGGACTAATCCCAGTGAAGTCAGTGGGATCACTCGTGCTTACAATGAAACATGTTCTTGGAGTGCTTTACTAGACCAGAACTTAATTCCACAAGTTGTAAATAGCCCCATCAGAAAGTCCAAGGACTAAACTGGTAGGAAAACCAAACTGCTCTTCCTCCAGATTGTACACTGACAGTACAGTGAAGGGGAAAGCACATCTTGCCTATAAGCTATTCACTTTGGGAGCAATCTGAGGGCATCAGTCTCATGGTTACAAAAATTAATTTTTGCAGCCACCAAATTCCCTTAAAATGTCTAAGGGTACATCTACAGTACAAAATTATTTCAAAATCAAAAATTATTTCAAATTCTATTCTAATTTTTGGAAGCAATTTTATACATTCGGTCTTGTGTGTCTCCACTAAAGCACGTGAATTCGGTGGAGTGCGTCCATAGTACTGAGGCTAGCATCGAATATCGGACCGGTGCACTGTGGGTAGCTATCCCACAGTTCCCGCCGCCCATTGGAATTCTGGTTTAAGCTCCCAGTGCATGACGGGGCAAAAACATTCTCGCGAGTGTTTCTGGGTGTGTGTCTTCAGTCACTCCTCCCTCCATGAAAGCTACGGCAGACAATCGTTTTGTGCCTTTTTGGCGTGCAGACGCCATACTGCTTTCAGCAGACGGTGCACCGCTTCTTTCCTGGTACTATGAATCCACCTCGCATTTCCTCTTGTCTTTCTATGTAATCTCTATAAGTAGCTACCCTTCCTCATCAACCGCTGCCAACTCTGCTCAGCCATCGTGAACCAAGCAGCACAGCTTCCACCACAAACTCTGCTCTCCCGCTCTTGCCATGCTACCAAGCTTCTCCATGTTGTCTGTCCTGGGCTCCCGCCGCCGTGAAAGCTACAGAAGACAACCATTTCCTGCCTTTTTTCGGCTATCGTGAACTGAACAGCACCTCTTCTGCTGCCACTCTGCTCTCCTACGTTTCGCACCCTTTTTCCAGGATTACCCGTGCAGGCGCCATAGCACGGCAAGCATGGAGCCCGCTCAGATCTCTGCTGCAGTTTTGACCATTGTAAATACCTCACGCATTATCCAGCAGTGTGTGCAGTACCTGCAAAACCGGGCGAGCAAGCGACGACAGCGCGATTACTATACTGATGAGGGCATGGACATGGATGTTCCTAGAAGCACGGCATGTGGCAATTGGGAGATCATGGTGGTGTTGGGCCAGGTTCATGCCGTGGAACGCCGATTCTGGGCCCAGGAAACAAGCACAGACTGGTGGGACCGCATAGTGTTGCAGGTATGGGATGATTCCCAGTGGCTGCGAAACTTTCATATGCGTAGGGCCACTTTCATGGAACTTTGTGACTTGCTGTCCCCTGCCCTGAAGCTCAAAGACACCAAAATGAAAGCAGCCATCACAGTTGAGAAGCGAGTGCCATAGCCCTGTGGAAGCTTGCAACGCCTGGTCAGTCAGGAGTCAGTTTGGAGTGGGGAAATCTACTGTGGGGGCTGCTGTGCTGCAAGTAGCCAATGCAGTCATTGACCAGCTGCTATCAAGGGTAGTGACTTTGGGAAATGTGCAGACCACTGTGGATGCTTTAATATGCTGGGGTTCCCTAACTGCGGTGGGGCAATAGACAGAACGCATATTCCTATCTTGGCCCCGGAACACCGGGGCGGCCAGTACATAAACCGCAAGGGGTACTTTTCCATGGTGCTGCAGGCACTCGTGGATCACAAGGGACGTTTCACCGACATCAGCGTGGGATGGCCAGGAAAGGTGCATGACACGCTCATCTTCAGGAACTCTGGTCTGTTTGAACAGCTGCAGGAAGGGACTTACTTCCCAGACCAGAAAATAACTATTGGGGATGTTGAAATGCCTATAATTATCCTTTGGGACCCAGCCTACCCATTAATGCCATGGCTCATGAAGCCGTACCCAGGCACCCTGGACAGTAGTAAGGAGCAGTTCATCTATAGGCTGAGCAAGTGTAGAATGTGCTTTTGGATGTTTGAAAGCGCGCTGGCGCAGTTTACTGACTTGGTTAGATCAGAAGGTAGACCGAGGGAGGGGGGGTGGGTATTGGGTTAGGGGGGTGGAGGAGGAGGGAAGCACAAGTCCAGAAACCAAATCGAAATTTCAGATATGCCAGTTTTCTGCTGTTTGTGCAATCCTCTGGGGTTGAGTGTGTGGGTCCCTGTAGCCTCCCCCCCGCCCAATGTACTTGGGTGTCTAGGTAAGGAGGCTATGGAACTTGAGGAGGAGAGAGGGCAGTTATACAGGGGCTGCAAGAGCAGTCTGTGGTCTTGCTGCCTTTCCTGCATTAGATCCACCATACAGTGGAGCATGTCGGTTTGCTCCCCCATGAGCTTGACCATAGCATCCTGCCTTCTCTCATCGCGTGCATCCCTCCTCTCTTCGTATTCATGTAACGCTTTACGGGACTCCGCAATTGTTTGCCTCCACGCATTCAGCTGGGCCCTATCAGTGTGGGAGGACTGCATGAGCTCAGCAAACATGTCGTCCCGAGTTCATTTTTTCCGACTTCTAATCTGGACCAGCCTCTGGGATGGAGTAGATAGGGGCCCCGTTGAAACATTTGCACCTGCAGGAGGAGAAAAAGGGAGGGTCATATTTTAAAAGATACATTTTAGAGAACAAAGGGGACACTGTTTCTCAGTGAAACAGGCAATTCATAGTACACAGCACATGTTCTTTCTATACAAGGTCACATAATGCCACTTGTACTGAAGTGCCTGCCACTTTGGTGTGAGTAAGCCATCACATGCAGCCAGGCAACAGAATTCAGCTTGCAGGCAGCCATGGTAAGCCCTAGGGGCATGCGGGGTTCTGCTTCTTCCGCATTCATTTCAATGCTTACAAACTGCCGGGCCCCCTTTCCCATAGCAAGCAAAGCCTGGTGGGTTTGCCATATAAAAGGAGGGCCTGCAAGCTCTCTGGGATGATCACTTCATACAACACACATCCCCGCACCCGCCACGTGGCTCTGATGAGGCTCTGAGTAGGGATGAGCCCTTTAGACTAAATGCGAACAGCCCAGTGCAGCTGGGTTTCCCCCCACTGCATGGCTCCGATCAGGCTCTCACTCACCAGAAGTGCCTTCTCCGGGCTCATGGTCCGGGAGCCCGCCTTGGGAGTGGGGGAGGCTGTTGGCTCCAGCGTTAAGAATAGTTCCTGGCTGGGGGGAAAACACATTCCCCACTTGCCGCCTGTGCACTGTCGTCGTCCTTCTCCTCCTCCTTGTCCTCCAATAACTCATCCTCCTCGCTCTGTGCAACTCCCCCATTGCAGGTGTCCATGGACAGTGGTGGGGTAGTGGTGGCGTCACCCCCCATAATTGCATGCAGCTCATGGTAGAAGCAGCATGTATGGAGCTGTGAGCCAGAGCGCCCGTTCGCCTCCCTGGCTTTTTGGTACGCCTGAGCTTGCCTGAGCTCCTTGATTTTTGTATGACACTACTCTGTGTCCCTGGAGTAGGCTCTTTCCGTCATGGCCCAGGAGACTTTAGCGTATGTATTTGTGTTTCTTTTTTTGGAATGTAGTTCTGCCATAACAGATTCGTCTCCCCAACGTGCAATGAGATCCAGTACCTCCCATTTAGACCATGCAGGAGCTCACCTGCGAATCTGGGACTGCGTGGTCTCCTGTGATGGTGGACTGTGCTGATGGTCACCTGTGCTGATGGTGACTGTAGTGGGGTAGATACCCGCTCCTCCCCTGAGGGGCTTAGAACAGCCCCAGAGAGGGCTGTGGCTGGGGACAAGAAGCCTGGGCTGATTGGGGAAGGCAGCAACAGCTGGGGCCATGCCCCAATCAGGCCCAGCTGGCCCCTATAAGACGCTGCGAGCCAGGAGTCCAAACAGACTCTCTCTGTAGAGAGACAAGGACCTGGCTGCTGGGGAGCCTAACCAAGTGCCTAGAGTGGAGCAGGGCTGGGGGAAGGCCAGGGGAGCTGGGGAGCTCCGGCCTGGAAACCCCCCAGGCTGTGACCTAGTTGAAGGCCAGTTACGTATTGGGGTTGCAGGGGGCAGCCCGCGGGTAGGCAGAGGCAACAGGTCCAAACCCCCCTTGCCTGTGAGGGGTGGCTTATATACTGCAGTCAGCTCCAGTGAACGGGGGCTAGATAGTGACTAGGCAGTAGCCAAAGACTGAGGTGAGGTGGGGATAGGGGGTGGGGAGACCCTGCAAGTGAGGGGTTACTGCCAGGGGGCAGCACCCTGGCGTACAAGGGGCACCGGGTCCGGGAGGGACATGGGGGCCCGGCGTAAGCGGGATACCGGAATGCAGAGGGCGCTCCAAGGCTGGAAGTAGAGCTAATTCCCCGGGCACCAGCAGGAGGCGCCACGGGGTGAGTCCCACACGCTTACAGCGACCAAACAGGAAACGAAATTCAAAAGTGCATCGGAGTTGAGTGTGTTGTCCACAGCGGTCACAAGGGAGCATTCTGGGATAGCTCCCGGAGGCCAATAATGTCAAATTGCATCCACAGTACCTGTAACCCGGAACTGCGATCTCGATTTTAGCTCTACTCCACTTGCCAAGGTGGAGTACAGAAATCGGATTAAAGAGCCCTTTAAATCAAAAAAAGCGGTTTGGTCGTGTGGACGGAATCAGTTTTATTTCAAATTAACTCGACTAATTCCGAAATAACCATGTACTGTAGACCAGGCCTCGGATATCTGGTTGGAAAGTGTTCTGGTCTTTTCTTCCTGCAGAAAATGTAGATGAAAATGAAAAATAGGTTTTGTCAAAATATTCTGTGGGGCTTTCCCCACCGAAAATCAAACCCCCAAAATATTTCTATTTGGAAAATGATGCTGCAGTGCCTTGGGAGTTGTAGTTCAAGTGTCCCATGCTCCATTTTGTTCTGTAGGCTGTGGTCCCTGATGGGACTATATCTCCCACGATGCACAGTGGTGTCCTGCCTTGTTGAGGGGAGGCGGTGGTCACATTGCTGTGCTGCATAATGGGAGACAAAAGTCCTGCTGGGGAGCCCAGCCCGTAGAGGCAGATGGGAGCATGGGGCTCTGTGGCAGCTCTTCAGAATGGAAATATTTGGTTTTAGACATTCAAGTTTTCACCTAAACAACAGTTTCTGCAGCAAGCAGACCCTTCTCACCAAAAAAAAGTGTTTAGTCAAAAACCCAATTTTCCCATCCCAAAAAGGTTCATTGGAAAAGTTTGTTTGTTTATTTTGTCCCCTAGAAAATATGAAATTCTTTATATTTGAAATGAGTTTTTTCTAATGTTCATTCTTCTCCAGTGCCAGGTCATGCAGCTACAAAACCTGCCCTTATCTGGCTGATAGAACAAGGGGAAGAGCCATGTGCCCAGACTTGCCAGGACTCAGGGGAAGGAGGCAGTTCTAGTTACATTTCCTCAGGTGTGTAACAATTTACACTTTAACAGTTATTTGCATCTTTCAAAAGCTGCCTAGTAAAAAGTTGGCTGATTCTGGCTTGTCTGGTTCTGACTCGGTGTTTCCTCAAAAGAAGCCTTCACTGAAGTAAGGACTGACTAAAACTACTGGAGGACCAAAAGATTTGGCCTCGTTTTATCCTTTCATATTCCAATTTGCATACTAATAAAAATATGCATGTTAATTTTCACAGTAATAAAATTTGCCACACAGTTTCCATAGTAATGAAAATTTGCATACTTACTTGCATAGTAATGCACTGTGCATTCTGATTTGCATAGTAATAAAACTAAACCAAAACTAAAACAATACCTCCTCCCACCCCACTGTCCTGCTGGTAATATAAGCTATTACCAGCAGGGCAGGACAGTGGGGTGGGAGGAGGTATTGTTTCATGGTCCCTGTGTGTATATAATGTCTTCTGCAGTTTCCACAGTATGCATCCGATGAAGTGAGCTGTAGCTCACGAAAGCTCATGCTCAAATAAATTGGTTAGTTTCTAAGGTGCCACAAGTACTCCTTTTCTTTATTCATTTTCAGTAAATGGCAACTAAATTCCAGCTGGTGCTTGTTCTTGCAAGATTGAGATTTAGGAACAATCAGTGTATGCTTGAGAGGTGTCAATTTTAAGTGTTGTCTGCTTGTACAAGACACACAAAACAGAGAAAATAAGTGGTCGTCTATGAACAGCAGTAGGATCATGATGCATTTATTAGATGGTTGTTTGGAATTCCAGATTCAGGTTCATTAAATAGGCTGCTGAGATATTCTGTTGTAGATGATGAGCAGCATTTTCCAAGAGCCCAAGTCCCATTTGCAGAAGTGATTTAGGACTAGATCCACAAAGGGACTTTGGCACCAAACTCCAGTGGCTAGGTGCCAGAGCGATCCTCAGAACCCCTTTTTAGCTTCTGCCCAACCCTGCAGGCGCCCGTGTTTCTGCAGGTGAAGTTCCCTGGGGGCTAAGTTTTTGCTGGAGGACAGGCACAAGTCCAGGTAACTCCTGAGGCTGCCAAGCTGCTCAGCATCCTAGCTCATGTCCAAGCCCCTATAGGATTCTTTAGCTAGGTGTTTCTTGCCTGTGGGGCCCAATCCAGTAGGTGTTCTCGTAGAACAGCTAACCTGAACAAAGCCAGCCCAGAACACCCAAGTGCTAGTTAGGGCACTGGTCAGAGGTTTGCACCCAAGTTTATGTCCGTGCTCCAATTCCGGCAGAGTGGGGATTTGAAAATAGGTCTCATCTCCCAGGTGAGTGCCCCAACCGCTGGGTTACTGGCTATAATGGGGTGGGGTTCTCAGTCTGGCTGTTTGTGAGAAAGGGCTGCCTTGGCTTAGGCACCGAACTTCAGGAGAGGATTCGCAGTTGTGAATCCCAGTTCTAAAATGACCTTTGAGCCCCAGCCCTCTCGTCAGCATTTCCTACTGGTTAACTTAAGCAGCGAAACGCCCAGCTTGCTGTCTTCTGTAACTCGCATTCTTAGGTACCTGACTCTCATGCCTTGTGTAGGGAGCCTGGACACCTAATCTGGGGCTGAGGATTCCAGTGGGCACCTCAGTCTTTTTGTGGATCTAGCCCTTAGGCCTAAGTCCCATTGACTTCGATGAGGTATGGGGCATGTCTACACTATAGTCTTAAATCGACCCAGGTTAGGTCGTTTTACAGCCACAGTGCTGTGCACCCTCACCAGGAGCACTTCTACAGATTGGAGAGGGACAGTGTAGGGGACTGAGCACCAGGGGCACAGGGAGGGGCACAGCACCCTCCCCCAGCTTCTGGGTCCCTGCTGGGAGTGGGGGGGAAGCCATTCAGGGCTTCTTGCCTCTGGCGGGCAGATTCACGCCCACAGTCTGGTTGGTTGCCATAGTCCCGGTGAGGAGCAGGGAACCAGGACCATGGGGGACAGCTGGGCTCCCAGTGGGGAGCCAGGGTGGCAGCCCAAGCCAGCAGCCTGGGTGGCTGCCGTGCTCTCGGCAGGGAGTGGGGAACTGGGACCATGGGGAGCAGCCCAGCCTGGAGTGGAGACTCCGCAGCAGCCCGGCTGGGGAGCCTGGAGCCAGCTTTCTTGTCAGTTTCATGGCTCCGGCAGAGACAGCCAACAGCCCATGTAAGTAATAGTGTCTACACAAACCCTGCTTTGCCCTAACTACACCGACATAAGTCCTATGCCTCTTGTGGAGGTGGAGTTATGTCAGTGTAGTAGGGTACTTACGTTGGCAGGAGCAAGGCTGTAGCGTAGACACTGACGTAATTAGGTCGACGTAAGCTGCCTTGTCGACCTAACTCTGTAGTGCAGACCAAGCCTAAGGCTCTGGAGTATCTAAATCATTTCTGAAAACAGGACTTACCGTAAATATATTTATCTTAGGCATTTATGAAATAAGTTCAGTAGCCATTGAGCTGTGTGCATGCACTAATTGAGCTCTGGGTTCCCCTTTATTCCAGCCAATGAGCTTGTCTCAAGAAATAATGACAAGGAGTCTCCAGAGAGGTTGGGCAAGCACAGGACCTCGCCACGAGCCAGAGCAAGTGCTTTCCCAGACTGCGGCGGGGGTGTGGGCAAGGGTCAGCCTGGCTCAGAAGGACAGCAGGGGAAGCCAGCAGGAACCCGAAGCTGTGGAGCGAATCGGTGTGGCAGAGGGTTCAGTGAAGTGGAAGATGCCGCTGCCTCCGCGAGAACCCCCCCCGAGCAGAGGCTGCACTGCTGTATGGAATACAGTGAACGCTCTCCTCACCCGTCGCATGTAACCTCTCACTTCAGAGCCCATGCTGGGGAGAAACCCCATAAGTGCCCCACCTGCGAGAAGGAATTTGGCCGGCGTGCACACCTTATTCAGCATCAGCAAGTGCACACGGGTGAGAGACCCTACAGCTGCCCCGAGTGCGGGAAGAGCTTCAGTCGGAGCTCAAAGCTTATGGAACACCAGAGACTCCACACGGGGGAGAGACCCTACAAATGCTCTGAGTGCCAGAAAAGCTTCAGCCAGAGCTCCAGACTGATCAAACACCAGAGAATTCACACGGGGGAGAGGCCCTTCAAGTGCACCAGGTGTGAGAAGAGCTTTGCAGAGAGCACGAGCATGCTGCAGCATTACAGAGTCCACACCGGAGAGAGGCCCTATACATGCAGCTACTGCCAGCAGAGCTTCAGCCGAGGCTCGCGGCTGGCGGAGCACCAGAGGGTCCACACTGGGAAAAAGCCCCATCAGTGCGGCGAGTGCGGGAAGAGCTTTGGGAACCGCTCAACCCTCACCACCCACTACAGGACCCACACGAGCGAGAGGCCTTTCACGTGCAGCGAGTGTGAGAAGAGCTTCAAGCAGGGCTCGGCGCTGATCGCGCATCGGAGGAGCCACACCGGAGAGAGGCCCTTTACATGCACAGAGTGTGGGAAAAGCTTTGCTCTGAGCTCACACCTGATCAAGCACCAGAGAATCCACACAGGGGAGCGCCCCTTCCAGTGCCCAGAGTGTGAGAGGAGCTTCGTGCGGAACTCACACCTCACCGAGCATCGTCGGATCCACACAGGGGAGAGACCCTACCAGTGTCCTGAATGCAAGAGGAGCTTCCGCCGCAGCTCCCGGCTCATTGAGCACCAGAGGATCCACACAGGAGAGAGACCCTACAAATGTCCCCAGTGCGAGAAGAGCTTCAGCCGCAGCTCGGCCCTCAGCGAGCACCGCCTCCGAGTCCATACGGAGGAGGGCGCTGTGGAGGAGGACAGCCCCTCTGATCAGCCAAACGCCCCCAGGAGCGACCCTGGAAGGGAAAGACGCTACCAGTGCGGCAAATGCGAGAGAAGCTTCTTTCGGAGATCCCATTTTGTTGAACACCGCAGAGTCCACACAGGAGAGAGGCCCTTTAAGTGTCCCGACTGCAAGAGAGGCTTCCGCTCCAGCACAACCCTTACTAAACACTCCAGAACCCATACAGGGGAAAAGCCTTACAAGTGTTCTGCATGTGAGAAATGCTTTGTCCACTGCTCCAAGCTGATGGCGCATCAGAGGAGCCACACCGCAGAGAAACCCTTTAAATGCAATGAGTGCGAGAAAAGCTTCACTCAGAAGTCGGGTCTCATAGATCATCAAAGAATCCACACGGGAGAAAAACCTTATCGATGTCCCACCTGTGAGAAAAGCTTCAGCAGGAGCTCGACGCTCATTCAGCATCAGAAAATCCACATGACAGACAAACCCTATAAGTGTCCTGAGTGTGAGAGAGGCTTTAGACGACACGCGCATCTGAGAAAACATCAGAAAACCCACGCACCATAGGACCTGGCTGCATTTAACAAAAAGAGCTAGCCGTTGAAGGCAGATGTGTTTCCGTGACCTCGGAAAGGCAGCGTTCGGGAAGTGCCATTGGCAGTATTTCTAGAGGGTGGAAGACTTGTTTCATGAAGAAAAAAGAATAATCGTATTTTGGGACAATTGGGAACGAACAAGGAAATTCCATGCAGAAAACTAGTGCTGTGGAACGTTGAGGTTGAGAAAACAAGCTGTCCAAAGCCAGGCAATGCAGAGTTAAGTGCGGTCCTCTTGTGCTTATCCCTTTACAAACAGGATTTCTCTTGATTATAAAAAGATTTGCCAATGAATGTAATTGATGACAAACAAGAATTTCTTATGCAGCCCTACAGACAATATATTACAGTATAGCATAGCTGAGTCAAGAGGGTTGGCTAGATTTTTTTAAGTCTCAGTGAGGTCTGCAAGACAAGTGAAGGTCAATGTTCAATGACTACACAGTAGCAAATATTATAAACTGACTGGCACAGAGTGTGAAGTGATCAGGTGTTTGAGGTTCTCAGTGGCAGGGGCATGAGAATGAAGCCCTTACTCCCACTGTGGTGAAATTCACTTCTCCGCAAAAGGCCAGCATCATGTACTCCCTATAAGGGCTTAAGTGGTACATAAGCCAGGCACAGGCCTTCTGCATGAAATGAATTTCCCCATCTGAAGACCCCTGACTCATGTGAGTAGTACGCCAATGTGAATATTTGCACGATTGGTTCCCGTAACAGGGTGGCAGTTCTCTTCTATTGGAACCCCTGCAAAAAACTGTCTGAGTGGGTCCAGCTGACTCATTGTGCTGCCGCATGTCCTGTTAATTTCCACCAATGCTCTAGAGGCCTTCTGGGCACAGGGAATGAGAGTCTGGGATGCAGAAGGTCCTGCCGGGATTACGCAGCCTGGAGGAAAAAGCTCACACTGAGGTTATGTTTTATTGTTGCAGCTACTTGTTAAAAAAATATTGCCAAATGTTTTTGGATGGGAGATAACTTAATTTGGAAACAGACTTTCAGGGGAAATTTTATTTTTTTTCTAAGTTTCTTTCTACACCTGAACCATCTCTCTGCAGCCATCAGGACTAGAAACTTTTTTTTAAAGGTGATAACTGAGAACCTCAGTTTATAACCTGATTCCAGCCATTGGGCTTTAGGAAAGGGACCAAATATTACAAGGCTTACCATCTGGCAAGACTGCTAGTCTCAGCTATGGGTATTCAAAACATTTCCATCAAGAGTGGAATAGTGTTTGCTTTCCTTGAGCATTTTTTTTAAACTGGAAAACTTTCAGTTTTTGGAAGCTTTCAGCCAAAAAATAAGCAGTTTTTGACAAAGTCTAAGTTTTCTGGGGCAAAGTTACATAAAAGTGAAAAAAAATGATCAATTTTTCATGGCAAAAATCCCGTGAAAGAGCAGCCCGCTGCCTGGTGCGCGCCCTGGAGCCTGAGCCCACATAGCAAGTTTCTTCTTCTCCCTGCCCCTGTCAGCAGCCTTTCTGGACACCTAGTGGTTCACCGCTTCCAACAAGTTAATCCTCCAGCGAGTTCACCCTTTCAGGTACCAAATTCCGAGTCGAAACCACAGTCTCAGTATCTGTGGGCCCCCTGCTTGGGCCCTCAGGCCTTCCCCTGGGATTCTGAAAACAATGACAAATCTAACAGTGTTACCCAGCGTCTCCAGCCCCAGCACACTCACCACCTTAGTCCATTCCAGTCACTCATCCTCACTGCACCCTCTTTTGTGGCCACCACACCAAGAGTCTTCATCTCCTGCAGCCTCTGTTTACTTCTGGCCTAGGTTTTCTACCTCCTGCAACCACCTCGGTCACTTGGGCCTCTTTCCAAGGACTCATGCCTCTCGGCCGTTAGGGCCCACTGCTAGCAGCCTGGTCAGTGCCCTTCCTGGGTCCTAGTTCCTTCTGTCAGACCCAGGACTTCCTCCTGGCTTCCCCCTTCCAGCTGTTGGGCTTCCTTCTTGATAATTTTGCCCTTCCCCAGGTGCAGGAACAGCAGGGCTAATTAAGGCCTTGTCTGCATCTTTAACCCATTCCTGAATCCTACTTCCCTTACATGGACTCCCTGGGAGCTGTGTGTGTGTGTGTGGGGGGGATTGACCCCACTCCCCCATTCCGGGCAGCACTAGTCCAAGATAGTACAGGAGGGTGACCCAGATGCTCACGTAGTCACTTTGACGTGGATAGCTGCTGCAGCTCAGTGAGAGAAGGCATCCTAGAATATCATAGAAACACAGGACTGGAGAGGACCTCAAGAGGTCATCTAGTCCAGTCCTCTGCACTCATGGCAGGGTTAAGTATTATCTAGACCATCCCTGACAGGAGTTTGTCTAACTTGCTCTTAAAAATCTCCAATGATGGAGATTCCACAACCTCCTTAGGCAATTTATTCCAGTCCTTAACCACCCTGACAGTTAGGAAGTTTTTCCTAATGTCCAGCCTAAACCTCCCTTGCTGCAATTTAAGCCTATTGCTTCTTGTCCTGTTTTCAGAGGTTAAAGAAAACTATTTTTCTCCATCCTCCTTGTAACAACCTTCTATGTACTTGAAAACTGTTATGTCCCCACTGAGTCTTCTCTTCTCGAGACTGAAAAAATTGGGTTTTTTTAAATCTTCCCTCATAGGTCATGTTTTCTAGACCTTTAATAATTTTTGTTGTTCTTCTCTGGACTTACTCCAATTTGACCACATCTTTCCTGAAATGTGGAGCCCAGACCTGGACACAATACTCCAGCTGAGGCCTAATCAGCGCAGAGTAGAGCGGAAGAATTACTTCTCGTGTCTTGCTTACAACACTCCTGCTAATACATCCTAGAATGATGTTTGCTTTTTTTTTCAACAGTGTTACACTGTTGACTCATATTTAGCTTGTGATCCACTATGACCCCCAGATCCCTTTCCCCAGTACTGCTTCGTAGGCAGTCATTTCCCATTTTGTATGTGTGCAACTGATTGTTCCTTCCTAAGTGGAGTACTTCGCATTTGTCCTTACTGAATTTCCTATTTACTTCAGACCATTTCTCCAGTTTGGCCAACTCATTTTGAATTTTAATCCTATCCTCCAAAGCACTTGCAACCCCTCCCAGTTTGATATTGTCTGTAAACTTTATAAGTGTACTCTCCATGCTATTATCTAAATCGTTGATGAAGATATTGAACAGAACCGGACCCAGAACTGATCCCTGTGGTACCCCATTTAATATGCCGTTCCAGCTTGACTATGAACCACTGATAACTTGTCTCTGGGAGCGGTCTTCCACCTAGGTTGTATTTCCCTAGTTTGTTTATGAGAAGGTCATGCGAGACAGCATCAAAAGCCTTGCTAAAGTCAGGATATATCCATCTGGCCTCTTTGGTGATGGGATGCACAGGCTGCTTACCAGGCTTTGGATGAGCATGAAGTCATAGAGCCTTTGGGAATTGGGACTAGGTTCAAAATATCTTAATCCCCACCCATCCGTTCCCCATCACGTGACCTTTCATTCCCGCTCGCTGGGTTTATGTCAGTCACATGGCTCAGGTTGGTGGATTGTCTTTATCCAGGGCTGCTTTGCATAACACAAAAGGAATCCTGAGGCTGATTGGCCAATTTGATAGCAACATAAGAGTAAACATTTAGAAATTAGGTCTGTCGATTAATTGCAGTTATTAACTCATGCAAGTAACTCAAAAAAATAAATCGCGACTCATCGCACTGTTAAACAATAGAATACCAGTTGAAATTTATTAAAGTTTTTGGGTGTTCTTCTACATTTTCAAATATATTGATTTCAATTACAACACAGAATACAAAGCATACACAGCTCACTTTATAGTATTTTTGATTACAAATATCTGCACTGTAAAAGTGACAAACAAAAGAAATAGTATTTTTCAATTCACCTCATACAAGCACCATGGTGCAATCTCTTTATCGTGAAAGTGCAACTTACAAATGTAGGGTTTTTTGTTACATATTTAATTAACGCATTATTTTTTTAACAAGTGTCTTCAGCATGGAAGCTTGTCCTCTGGAAGGATGGCCGAAGCTCTGAAAGTTTAGGGCATCTGGCATGTAAATATCTTGCGATGGCAGCTACAACAGTGCCATGCGAACTCCTGTTCTCACTTTCAGGTGACATTGTAATTAAGAAGCGGGCAGCATTATCTCCAGTAAATATAAACAAGTTTGTTTCTCTTAGGTTTCAGAGTAGCAGCCGTGTTAGTCTGTATCCACAAAAAGAAAAGGAGGACTTGTGGCACCTTAGAGACAAACATTTGTTAGTCTCTAAGGTGCCACAAGTACTCCTTTTCTTTCTGTTTCTCTTAGCAATTGGATGAACAAGAAGTAGGACTGAGTGACTTTCAGACTCTAAAGTTTTACTTTGTTTTGTTTTTGAAGGCAGGGGTTTTTTTGTACATAATTCTACATTTGTATGTTCAACTTTCATGATAAAGAGATTGCACTTGTATTCGTTGAATTGAAAAATACTATTTCTTTTTTTTTACAGTGCAAATATTTGTAATCAAAAATAAATATAAAGTGAACACTGTACACTTTGTATTCTGTGTTGTAATTAAATATATTTGAAAATGTAGAAAACATCCAAAACTATTTAAATAAATGGTATTCTATTATTGTGTAACAGTGTGATTAATCACAATTCATTTTTTTAATTATGTGATTAATCACGATTAATTTTGTTAATTGTTTGACAGCTCTATTCAAAATTCAGTGTCCTAAAGGAAGGTGGGTTGCATTCAGGCAGCTGCCATCTCTCTGCAACACAAGGAGTTATAGACCAGGTTTTTAAAGGTATTGAGATGCCTAACTGCCATTGAAATTGATGGGAACTAGGTACATAAGCACCTTTAAAAGTCTGGGCCCATGTGCCTGCTGTTAGCTGCCAGTCCAGTTCACAAGCACTGACTGCTTTTCCCCTAGGTACTCTTAGCACTGGGATCCTTAGATCTTGCCTGCACAAGAAAGGTGCTGCAGTTTAACTTAACCTGATTTTGTTAAATCAGGTACAGCTACAAATGCCTCTTAGGCCAAGGTAAAAGTGGCTCATTTGGGTTTAACTGTAACCTGTTCCCCGTTGACTTAAGCTAAACCAAAATAAGCTGCTGTTACTGAGTGTGTCCGGGGAGGGTTTTGCATTGATTTAACTAAATAGGCATAAAATCACATCTACAGGCCTTGTTTCCACCCAGACATAGTGCTGTGTCAGCCATAGCAGTATAGTTAAGGCGGTACACCTGCCCCTCACGTGGATGCAGTTAAACCAGTGTAAAGGTCCTTACAATGGTATAGCTTATTCTATACAGGAAGGGGAATAAATTATACTCTACTAAGGCACTTTATACAGTATAACGCTCCACACTAGGTGTTCTACTGTAGAACTAGATTGGTAAGAAATCACCTCCCTCTCTCCACCTGGCATAGTTACAGCCGTACAAACACTGCGCCTACAGACAGGTTTCAGAGTAGCAGCCGTGTTAGTCTGTATCCGCAAAAAGAAAACGAGGACTTGTGGCACCTCAGAGACTAACCAATTTATTTGAGCATAAGCTTTCGTGATGAAGTGAGCTGTAGCTCACGAGAGCTTATGCTCAAATAAATTTGTTAGTCTCTGAGGTGCCACAAGTCCTCCTTTTCTCACTGTGCATACAGCAGGTCTTAAGTTAAGCTTCACTGCACCTTACTTCTGTTGATGAGCGCTTAGTTTGGTGGCAGGACTGCAGGGGTTGTGAACTTGTTTTGCAGGGAGAGTCGTTCCCATTTCAAACATGACTTTATAGATGTGGGTCTCACAGCTTTAGTATATAGAGAGTGGAAATAGCAACTGAAATGTATTTATAATCCTTTCCTCTCACTTGTATCCAGCCCCCTTGCATGTAAGTGTGATGGTTGTTTTGTTATAATGCTGTTTATTAAAGCATAAAATGCAATGTGCTCGCTCTGTTGTTTATCAGCATGGAATGGGCAGGTTCCTTCCCTACCAGCACAGAAGAGCAAGGTGCTTTGAGCACATCCCCAGCTTACAGGCAACTATGCCAGACCATGCAGGGGGAAACAGCCATTGCCGTTCTTAGGGCACAGTACCAGCTATGGGACAAAGCTGGCCAGTTCAGATCCTGACTATGACCAAGGTACTATGTTGACCCCTCTACAGTCACCACAGCCTCTTGCTCTGTCACCTACCGCAGACCCATTCACGCCCTTTTCTCCTGACCCCACACCCTTCTCCAGTGAGTAAGCCCAGTGTTGCTCTGCACAGCAGGTGCATGTTGGGTGCTGAGGACTAGCTCCACATTGGGGCTCAGCGGTGTCAGACTATGGGCGGCTCTGGGCACATGCACCGCTAGACACAGAGGCGCCTGGGGACACTTGCCAACTACAGGCTTAGGTAGAAGCTGAGCAGGGGGGCTGAGGATCTCCGGCATGCCTAAGTCCCCTTTGTGGATCTAATCCTGAGCTCTTAGCATCATGGAAAACCACTCTGCTCCAGTCCTATGGCCCCTTTGGTAGGGTCTCTCTGCCACTGGCAGAGTTTAAATGATGGTGATGCTATTGCAAGCGGGTTAGTTTGGAACAAGTCTTCCTGGTCAGCTCCTACAGTCTGACACTGATGGGTTCAATTTGCCTCCTGCAGAACTGTGCATGTTATTACAGGTGAATAGAAACTGATGCAACTAGGAGCCATTTTGTGGGGGATAAAAGATTTATTCTGGCCAAAGGTGTCACACAGCTTTAGTATTTGTGGGTCCTCTTGTTTTATGTTTTCTTTCCCCCACACTCATACTGCTGCTGCAGTTTTATGCTGGCTTCAAACACTGCCCTGAGGGGCCTGCTTGACAAGCGTCTCTTAAAACATATCCCTACAAAATTACCACCCCACGCCCCCCAAAACCCCTCTCCCCCCCACATATAAAACCAGGAGCCCCCAGCATACCGTATTGTGTTTATATACAAACATATACAAAGTATCTACAGCCATGGTTGCAATATACTGTTCCATGGGCATGGACAGAAATTGGAACACCCTGCATGTAATAAGAGGTACAGATGTCTTGATTGTGCTGGTACGGTACATTAATGTCACAAAATAGCAGGGCTAGGACTAGTGGGTTAACCGTGGCTTGCAAGGCGTAGGGAGTGCTCTGCCTGCTAGTCTTCAAGATGCTCCAAAGCCACAAATCCTGTGGGCCCCCTGAGGAGGCCAAAGCCTTACCTTTCACACTAACACACTGGGCTTTTTAAAGATTGAAGCTCTGAGGCAAAAACCTGATCAACATCCACTCTAGCATCCCCATCGGCATTTAAACACAAGATGCTGGTGTAGGGACTGAACCTAGACGGTAGCAGCACATCTACAAAGGCAGCTGCAGCGGGGCGAGCTTATCTGGCCCATTTCTCAGTGCTGACCCCCCGGGAACTCACCCTCTGCCCAGTCTCAGAGCCCCGGAGATGGGCAGTCATGCCTAGTGGTTGGAACAATTCAGTAGCCAAGAATCAGAGCCCGGGTCAGAGCTGGATTACCTGGACTGAGGCAAGGCACAAGTAGGATTAGAAACAAGCAGGAACAGGAGCTATCACAGCCATGGGCAAATGCTTTGAGCCTCTGCCCACCCATCGGGATACAGCCAGTCCGGCAGCCTGCTGTACGCCAGCTGCACTCATCAGGCTGCCCAGAGACTGGCTCTGCTGCAGGCCTCATACCTGACATCTAGGCTACTTTTACACACACCTGCCCCCAGCTGCATTTTGAAAACTGGCAAAGCGCTGCAAGGAGGTGTTGCAAAGACGGCTCTGAGGCTACTTGGAGGCGAGGCGGGGACCCAGATAGCTAGCAACCAGCAGTGAAAACAAGATGCAGAATCCTGAGCCATCTTCAGACGCTGCAGCCCAACCAGCCAGCGCTGTACCCAGACCGCTCGGCTTGCTCTTGGGAGGGGCATGCATGTACTTCTGGAATATCTGACCCCCTCAGGGGACCTGGGTTCTATTCCTGGCTCTTCCATGGGCCTGCTGGGTGACCTTGGGCAGGTCACTGCACCTTTCCATACCTCTGTTTCCCCATCTGTAAAATGAGGCTAACGAAGCTGACCTCTTTTTTAAAGAGCTTTGAGATCTGCCGCTGAAAAGTGCTATTGACAACCTAGGGATTATCATCGTCTTGGTAATTTCCCACAGATTGCTGAGTTAACACCATTATTCATATGCTGGTAGCACTTGCATTGTGCAAACACGGAGGAAGGCACAGTCCCTGCCCCAAAGAGCTTAGCATAAAGTACCTCCTGCTTGGAACAGGAGCCGGGATAGGGTTTAAAGGATGCCAAGGCATCCTTCAGACATGTACGAATACCAGTGGCCACGACAACAGGCACTCTTTGCCCTGCAGCTGCCAGAGCCACCCACGCTCACCCATTCCTCCACCTTCCCACTGCTAGCAGAAAAGACATCACTCCACACCGCACCCCCGGGGCTATGAGACCCTCTCCGCCCCTTCTCTCACAGCGCCCGCAGCACCAACCCCTTGATGCCTCAGCGGAGACTCTTCCACTTGGGCTCCAGTGTTTGCCTGGACTTGCTCTTTGGACTGGCTCCAGCACGGAACAGTCACTGCATGGCTCCGGTACTGCCCTAGATCCCCTCTCTGAACCGATCACTCCCGTCTTCAGCCATGGACTGGAATGGGTCTGCTCGGAAGGGAACAAGGGCCTTGGCTTCACCAAGCAGGAAACAGCCCAGGAGCATGAAGAGCAGCCAAGGGTTTGTGACAGCGGAGAACCTCCTGGGTTCTTCTCAAGCTCATGTGATGGGCTTCTTTCCTGACTCCCGGGAGCAGCGAGCGCGCCGCTGGACACCCTCGACGTCTGGAGCGACTCCACCCCTGCCATAGCCCGTCCTGCACCGCCACGGTCTGCCCACAGAAGATGACTCTTCCACCTGCTCAGCTTCATGTTCCCCAGCAGCGCTCGCGCTACTTCCTATAGCTCGCCCCAGGGACCTGTGGGAAAGAGAGCTGGTGTCAGGCGCCTCTAAAGCAGGGAGAAGAGAAAAATCGCACAAGCTGGGCTCCCTGTGGTTTAGCTCCTTCCCACCCATGCAGCTTGACACAGCTGGGTGAGAAGGTCTCCCAGCCCATGGCAGATGGAGCCCAATAGATAACTGCCGAAGGGAAGGGGAAGAAGGAAAGCGATTTGGTTGGGAGTGTGGGAGACAATCAGGAAGAGGGTGGAGACGAGGACACGGGGCAGTGGAGGAGGGTTTGAGGAAAGCCACAGTGACAGGGAAGGAAGGGGAGCTTAGAGACACTCAGCCCAGGTCCTCCGAGGTATTTAGGCACCTAAATGGCTTTCAATGGGCGTTAGACAACCAAATACCTTCGAGGACTGGGCCGCTGAACCCAGCACTGGTAGGTCATGGCTGCAGCGAGCCTTGCCATGCAGTAGGCGGCTGGGTAGCCGAACCGGGCAGTCACGGCCTGCAGCTCGTGGCTCGGCCCTCAGGCCAGGCTGAGGTGAGTGCGCTGGCCTCATTACCTTTTCTCTGCCCGTCTGGCCTGGCTCTGCCCGCAGGGCAGCGAGATCATCCAGGCTGCCCCTGCAGTAGAGGGCGTTCTCCGCTCGCAGCTCCCTCACGCGGCCCTGCAGTTGGTGCAGGAGCTTCGAGGACACAAAGCTGCGCCCCCCAAGTTGGGGGGCGGTGCACAGGGAGGAGGCGGTGGTCGGGCAGAGATGGGTGTGCTCGTGCCGGTCCTGTGGGCAAGAGAAAGGAGAAAGCTTTAGCTGGGGGTCAAAACACACTGAGGCCAGCTGGAGGCATGTGGGCCCAGCACACCGGAGACACCAGGGCTGCTCCTGCCTGGCCACTGGTGAGGTGCACAGTCAGGGGGCCAGAGCCTGGAAGTAGGCCAGGAGATCTGGGTTCTGTTCCTGACTGCCACAGGCTTATTGGGTGACCACAGATAAGTCAGCGCAGCGAGCCTCAGTTTCCCCAATGTGCTGAGAGACACCCGGGCGGGACACACAATACCAGGGCTGCATGCTGTTGGTGCAGGGTCGCAGCATAGTAGGGTCTGACAAGCCCTAATTAGTTAAGCACCATAACACTCCCCCAAGGCAGGAGAGGTTTGGGAACCCTGAAATGCAGCCATCTCTGGGGTGCAACGGGGCACCAGTTTAGCAGCACACGGCCACACTACCAAGAGATGAAGCAGAATGCATCCAACTGAGAGTGCAGGGGGCACGGGGCTGGGGGGGGGGAGGGCAGGATGGAATTACCTGAGCTTGGATAGGGCCAGGACACTGGGGCTCAGGACTCATATACACTAAGGAGCATAAGGGGTCAGTTCATGTGAGAGACAGCGCCACCGGCCGCACAGGCCTCCTGCCCTTGCTCCCTGCAGCTGGGATTGGGTTAGAGCTGTCTCCGAAGGAGGAGTGCAGCTTCCTGAAGCACCACCCCCCTGTCCAAGTGCCAGCCCTGGCTGCCTCTGCTTGGCCCGTGAGTTCCCCAGGGCACAGCATTGGAGGACATGGCTGCAGGACACGTAAGGTGCCTGGGAGATATTAGGGCCACTGGAATAGCCCTGCAGCTTGTAGCACCCATCAGCTACTCACTGACACTACTCTGCACGCAGGGCTGGATTCTAGCCTCCTGGACTATTATCTCCCTTGTCTCTCCCTAAGAGGCTGCCTTGCCCTTTACAATCCCCTGCTCCACAGACTCATCTCAGCCCAGAACCTGGCTGGGAGCTTCCGATGCCTGGCAAGCCGAGGAAGAGCTGCCGTGTGCCCTCCCAGTGAGACTGATCCAAGCAGAGAAGGTCCCTGAACCAGCCGGGGCCCTTTCACTGTCCTCCCTTTAGCCAGAGGTGAGTGTTTCTCCTTTACCGTGGAAAGCCGCCCGATTTCTGCGTCCAGTCTCTCCACACTCCTGCGAA